GGAATGTTATCCGATCAGCGTGTCCTGGTCCAGAGGTAGTCGAGGACGCATTGTGATTGATCGGATCTCAGTGCAGTGTTGCCAGATTGGAAATGTCCAAGTATAGTACCAGAAGCTCAAAATTATCGTATTTGGAAGAAAATTATCGTACATGAGTCAAACGTACAGAATACAGCTATTTATCTAGACCAATAACGTTTTGACACAACCTGCAAATTACCACAATAGATAAAAAACTAGATAAATAACTCCACCTGTGAGTCGCTGTCATCGGAAGCCTGCGTGTTGCCAGATGTTGAGGGGGTTCTCGCCGTCATGGACCGCAAGATAGTTCTCTTTGGCTTAAAATCAGGGCACCCTCCTGAATTCTTAACGAGCGCATTTATAGTGTCTGTAATGAGCTGATTTCGTGGATGAGTATAGAAACCCTATGATTTACAACTACCATCATTTGAAGAGTCACAAAATTCTGAAATTATCGTACATTATGGGATTTTTTAAATTATTGATCGTACATCGTACAGAGGTCAAAATTATCGTACAAATACGATAATTATGGTACGTCTGGCAACACTGTTGGTGTTAAAGAATTGTGTTATAATCTTTTTTGATTGCTTTCAGTTTAAGTGCCGGCGATGCAGTGTTGCCAGATATTGATACTAAAACAAACAAAAAATAAATAAAAATAAACCGAAATTATTTCCAATCTTTTGCAAATAAGATAAGATAAAGATATCGCCCATGCCGTCACTCACAACTCTCTCAAGCCTCGTTCACTCCGGCCAGCGTCACGCAGCGATCATTTTCATAACAGGGACGCTAAACATTCTTGCAAACTGTCTAAACTGAATTATACATGTTATGCAGGCATTCATATGAGGAGTTTAACAGAAAATTAGTCGTTCAAAGAACAAATTTTATTTTTGAAAATGAAAAATTCCGGACCTCGGTGGCCTCATAGCTGGCTACGGGCCTGATGGGAATGTCTGTAGTGAATACAAATTTTGTTATGTTTATATAGCTCTAAAATATTTCAGTGGCTAGAAATACATTTTTGGAAATATAAACTGATTTTTAAAAAATATTTAACAACAAATGATTGGAAGCATCCAAAATCATGGGAATTCATTGGTTACGAAATGTATGAACCCTAAATGCTTGTTTGTATTGCATCGCTGTTTATGTGTTTTATTATGAATTTATCCTCACAATGGCTTGCAAAGTGGAAAATTCCGTTGTTTTGTGGCTATGAGTATGTACTTAAAAAAAGATTGGTGGAGAGAAAATTTTCACTCAGAAACTGTAAATAATTTCAAAGTAAATTTCACAAACAATTACAAAGAAATGGCAAGCAACACTTTGAATTACACATCAGATTGTGAAGTAGAAAAACTTAAATAGTATTTTTTGTAAAATGTACTCCAATAATCTTTGTTTTTACAATTTAGAAAAATATTTTTTTTACAGTGTGTGCTCATTTCTTAAAATGTGTAGATATCATTTATAACATTTTGTTTCCCATGGCAAATAATCCAACATAATAATAATAATAATAATAATGCACTACTGTTAAAGAAATCTGGGGTCAGTAAGTTATTTTTTTTTTTTGTTTGTTTGTTTTATTTTGGAGAAATTAATACTGTTATTATTATGTAAGGACACATTAAATTGATTAAAAGTGACAGTAAATGACAGTAAGGACATTTGTAATGTTACAAAAGATTATATTTCAAATTATTTTGAATGAATTTTAAACAACAAAAACTGTTTTGAACATTAATAATATTAAAAAATGTTTCTTGAGTGTCAAATCAGCATATTAGAATGATTTCTGAAGATCATGTGACACTGAAGACTGGAGTAATGATGCTGAAAATACAGCTTTGATCACAGAAATAAATTACATTTTAACAGATATTCACATAGAAAACAGCTATTTTAAGTTGCAATGATATTTCACAATTTACTGTTTTTACTGTATTTTTGATCAAATAAATGCATCCTTGGTGAGCATAAAAGGTCCCCCCTTCACCGTAAGTCTATGGTTTTTTATTAATTTTCCCCCCATCTGTCTGATTGCTTAATAATATCCTAAACAAGCTGCAAATTTTGAGGTACCACTGATGTTACGAGAACTTGCGAGTTTGATATCTCTCATTTGTTTTTATTATTATAAATACATAAGTAGTAATACTAAA